ATTTAAAAAAAATATTCATAATGTAACAGTAATTTTTTAATGTTTTTTTTTTTATCGGACATTATTTCTTTATTATGTTAGACATTATTTTTAGTGGGTACACGTGTTTCAGTTGTTACTCCCATTTTTTTCTTTATTTTCTTAAACAGTCAAATTAATAACAGCTTCATTGAATTGAGAAGAAAGATTTGACTATAGAAGTTGTTTCTTTGATAGAATAATGCTGCAGATTCAATTCCTTTCAAATGCTTAATCTTTCTTTACTAGGACTTCTATTGATCTTGGTAACATTTATGGAATTTTGAACTGAGCCCTTTAATTAATCTGGATAAGGGGTAGATTGTGACATAGTAATTAATATTTTCATTAGTATTAACTGTGAGTTCAATACTAGACCCGCCAATGCAAACTTGGTCTCGATGGAAACAAGGTGAAAAATAACTAAGAAGTACTAAATAAGAACAAGACAAGATCTCATTAGACATGAACAATCCACTCTCATTGATTAAATAAAGTGTTGTTCAAAATTCCCTGAATTGATAGATACCTGAAGAAGGTCAGAAGGCAAAATGGCTGAAAGTTTGTGATAATAATAACAACAAAGATAAGGATATTAATCACATCATTAATAATGTAAATAATAACTCCACATCCCAGAAATTAAGATAAAAATTATTTTTACTAATAGTAAAATACTGACCCATGTAGATGACTTTGCCATAAATAATAATGAACTTTTCCTTTTATTTTCAGCTTGCTGTAATGTACATAATGCCATGGGAATCTGAAAATTTGGAAATTTAATGGAAATGTAAGTATATAAAAATATTTTTTTAGAAAATTCATGCAGAAACTAAGTGTTGGCCGAGTTACAGGAACCTTTTTTAAACTACAAAGAAATTGAAAGATCTTTTTAAAGACTATTTCTAGAAAAGTTGAATTACATCATGTTATAATTATGCTTGTCCCTCCCTTAGCACAATAGTTACGCCCTGCCTATACCTCATAAATAATGGACTATTCCATTTTAATTGCATGGAAAGATGGAAAAGATCTATTGGAGACTCTACTTGGTTTCAGTGAGAAAATGAAAGAATAAAGAAAAAAGGAAAGATGGATATATTTAACATCTAATGCCAATACCTCATAAATAATGGACTATTCCATTTTGGTTGTATGAAAATATGGGAAAGTCATATCAGAGACACTATTTTGTTTCAGTGAGAAAATGAAAGAAGAGAAGACATCAGTTTCAGTGAAATGGAAAAAGTTGTCAATTTCAAATCTTTTCATTTGTACCCACTTACTTCTTATTACTTAAAGTTCATTTACTTGAGGATTCAGGTTAGAAGTTTTCTGTATGTCTGATTTCTAATAAGGTGTTAGTTAAAAAGGTAGCCTTGGTAGTAGTTGCAGTTGATTGATTGATTTTTTCTTTTTGCAGGTTATTTAAAACCAGAAAATGTTTTTAGATTATAAGAATTTTCTGGAGATAATAACGATTTACTGATATGTGTCCTGCTAATTAATCCATAGCTGGGGAGAGAAGAGGTGGATTCACACCTTTCCCAAGAGTATTGACATGTAAGTTAATATATCAAATCCAACCAGAATTGGAACTTAGCTCTTCGATTTCCAATTTTCAGTACTCGTGAGTAGTCACCCATCTAGTTATTGACTAGGCATTGCTTAACTTCGGTGATCATATGAGAACTAGTGTTTCAATAAAATATAGCTATAACCAAGTAGTAGTTGTCATTATTATTATCATTATTTTCAGTTTTCCTGATACAATCCTTTACCAAGCCTTTTTGCCTGAGATCTGAGACAAAGGAGTTTTTCTTCAAAAGTTATTGAGTACATTATATTGAGAGAGTTTTTGTGATTACCTGAGCAATGTTCATGGACACAATCTTTTCTAACTCAGATAATGATTGGGTTTCCTAGGATTTTTTCTTCATATATCAGTATTCATTTAATAATTCCTAGTGCTTTTATTATTACTGGGATTGCATTTAAGTAACACATTTTTGCATTTTCTACTTAAAGGTCCTTATATTTTGAAAGTTAGTCAAATTCTTTTAGTAAGATAATTTTTATTATATATAATGACCATGTTTTGAAGTCGGATATGCAATATAATTAGCCCTGATCTGGCATCTTGTCTACAGTTGCTCTCTCACAGATGTGCCATCATCTCTCTCTGTCTTTTTTACAAATACTTTCATGGTAATTGCTCCGAGGAGCTGCATTCGCTGGTTCCCAGACTTCATGAATTCAAGTGCCCTACGAGGCTGGCATCTTGCTCTCACCCTTGAAACTATTAAATGTAGCCATCTCTTCTACTCCAATAGCTTCATATCTCGCATCTCTCACCTGTGGAACACCCTTTCCAATTACTGTTTCCCTGAGAACTATAATCTCCAACTATTCAAATGTAATGCCAATCGACATCTCCAGTTGCCTTGATCTATCCACTACCCTTCTCCTCATCCTTTCCTCTATCACCCTATCTGATCTTGCTCCAAATCTTCTGCAACCCCTTGCGTCCTAGTGGCTTTCCGCCTTGCTTGGGGTGAAACACTTAAAAAAGAAATCTATTATCTATTATAGTTTGTCAAAGGGTGAATTTGAAATTGGGGCATTCAGTTCATAATGACCATTAATGGTTAAGCGAGAAAGATGAGACAATTATAAATTCAACAAATGATGATGTATTTAAAATTTATTTATTTTTAAAATAATTTAATTCATTCTTTCAATTAGGCAAATTCATTGATCACTTTATTATAAAATGTATCAACACTGCACTCTAACTTTACCTTTTCAAGAGATCTTTAGTTATGGAAATGAAAAACAAAATAATCAGTCTATCTTCATGTTGAAATCAAGGAGCAGCAACTAACTCCAACTTTTTTTTTGTTTTCTCACTCACTCAGCCATAACCTTTCAACCTTCTGTCATTCAGTTCTTCCATGTTCACTGTGCCTGTATATACAATTGGTGTGGGACTCGAATATGGAAGCAGGGGTCTTTTCTGCTTACACTACTCTAATTCAGTTTATCCTAAGAAATAAAGGAATGGGAGATCTTAAAGATGATTATCAGTAGAAAAAGGAAAGTAAAAATAATTAACTTTTTATTGAACAAAAATTGTTATATTTGGAAAAAAAATCTAAGGCATGTAGTACATCCATTTGCAAACATGCACTCTATGCCACTGATTGGTATGTATGTTGAAGTGTCCGAGTATTGTTGTTGTTATTTACTAATTCTATACCCCACTTTGCTTCATTAGTGGCAAGATGATCAATTTCAAATCTAAATTGTTTATCCATTTAGAATATTACATTTATTAGAAAATATATTCAGTTTAAATAGAGAGAGTCATAAAACTAACTACAAAGAGCTCCACCATATTTTCCTGTTACCCAGAGATTAATTTTAAGATGTTCATTTGAATTTCATTCAAATTGTGTGTCTATATTTTTTTGTATGACATCTCTATTTTAATCCAATGACACACATTAAAATATCTGTATAAAATTTTAAAAAGTAAACTTGAAGAAATAGTTTTATTTATTGCTGATTAATTTTCAAAAAGTTCAATAAAATCTTTTATCTGATTTTTTAGGAGTTAGAAAATCAAAGTTTTTTGCCAAGAAATTAGTTGTGCCATTTTTCTTTTATTCCACGTGTGCCAGTTTTACCTAAATTTTTCTTTTTATGTTCATTACTTTTTTTAAAAGTTTAATCTAAATTCATTCTATCATCATAAGCCATAAACTGGATGTTTACTTTGTAGTAATTTCTATACTATAACTAAATAAATATGAATTGACTGACAGTGATGTATGGCAGGTATGTAGAGACAGTCATCAATAGACTATATCAATATATAGACATGAAAACCTTCATATCAATAGATAAACATGAAAACCTTGATATTAATATATAAACATGAAAACCTTGATATCACTAGATAGACATGAAAACCTTGATATCACTAGATAGACATGAAAACCTTGATATCAATAGACATGAAAATCTTGATATCAATAGATAGACAGAGTGAAATAATTATCAATAAAATACTAAAGCTTTCTCACAAAAGAAACAGAAGTTGATTATTTTAATATTTAAAATTTTGTTTTCACAGCAGCATGCTACATATGTAAACAAAGAGACAGTTTGACAAACAATTAAGCTGTAGATTTCTTTTCTTTTGTTTTTTCTTGTCTCTAAATTTATCATTTTATTGTGAAACTGAAGTAAATAACAATGGGGAGATTCAGATCCAAAAAATCATAAATCTGAGGCTGTAATTCCAAGGGTCATAAATCAGTTTCGCAATTCCAACATCAGAAAATGCTGGAGGCATCAAAAATCCACATCACAACTTGCAACACACAACTACCGTCTTCACCCATGAAGAGCCAAGAAGTCTGCCAGTAGTCTAAAGTGGTATTCTTTTATTTGGGGTGTTGCAATTGGTCAAGACTGGTAGGTAAGCACAAACAATTACCATATTTAAAGGCCTACTAAAATCAACACAATCTTGGTTTGGATTTTCTTTTTCAACAGAGAGTGCAAAGAACACAAATTCTTTTTTGGTGTAAGACTTGGTTTTCTTTTTCATCACCATAGAAACCATGAATAAAAACTTATTTTTTCTAAGTTTATTCTTTTACTTTTAGTATTCATCTGTGTTTTTTGGCCTTAATAGAGTTGGATATAGAATTGTTCAAAGTCACTATTAATAGATTCAATTTCTCTTTTCAAGTGTCCTTTTTGCAGCCATTTTCATGTCATCTGCAATCCCCCTTTGTTTCTGTTATACTTGTATTTGTTTTTCTTTTTGTGAATAGTTTCCTCTTTCCATTTATTTATTTTCCCTCAATCTTCCTCTGGTTTGGTTTAATATCATGTGCTGTTTTCAGCAGTTTTCACTATATAATTACTTTGTCTATACTTAATTTTTTAAGTCTCATTTTAACAATATGGACACTGTCCTTGATGCTGATGAGTCCTTTACCTCCTTCCTTCTTTCCCTCATTTTCACCATGTCAGTGTTGTTTCTGGGACACAGAGCCATATACATAATCATTAATTGCCAGATCTGTCAACCACTTTTATCTAACTTAAGAACAGTCCTGTGTATTTCACCATTGATATTGCCCATGTGTTCATTTCTTTTCAAGTTTCTGATGTTTAGTTTTATTTTTAATATTTTTCTCATTTTCAATATTTTTCTCATTTTCAATATTGTTCTTTAGTTTTATTTTTAATATTTTTTTTTACTCCTAAAATTATTATTATTATTTATTTATTTTTTTACAGTAAGGTTCACTCGTTACAAAGCCTGGGGTCCACTCAAGGTAGAAGGTTACAATAGCAATTTGTGCACATAGGAGGGGAAGAACAGTTAATCCTAGCCTTGAACAGGTTAAGATTGTAGTTATTGGGGAAACATTCTCTTGGGAGTCATTTCCACAGAACAGTGGTTTGCTGTTTAAGTGGAACTTACTTCTCACTGATGGAATGTGAAGGGAATGTGGGTGGGTTGCTACTATGTAAATGGCATGGTGTGTCTTTGCCATGAAGGTTTGAACTGGGGGGGACCAGGGAATGTAGCTTGTCCGAGCACTGTCTGTGGAAGTAGTGATAGAGCAGTGAGTGGCTTACTACATCCTGTCTGTGGGAAAGAGGTTGGAGGGTTGAGAATAATTTGGCATTCACAAGGGCTCATAGATTCTTTTGGACTCTATCGAGGCTGGAGAATGAGGTCTGCCAGCTCCTGCTCAGATATGACAAACACTGAGTTTTTATACCAGCAGCAACTGATAAGGGACAATGGATGGAGTGACAATATGTCTTCTCTATATTCCAGCACCTTCTGGGATATTCTTGCTGTTCTCAGCAAAGATTTTGTTGATAGTTTCATTTCTTCCCTGGATCTTCAGTTCATCCAGCCTTTTTACTAGACTTTTTGAGATAATTCCCAGTGCTCTAACAACCTCTGGAACAGTTTTCACTTTCATGTTCTCTTGTCTCTGCATTTCTATGGCAAAGTCCAGACATTTATGTTTTTTGCTTTCTTTTAATTTTACTCCAAAGTTTGCTGGAACAGCAAAATTCACAAGTTTTTTTTTCTCCTTATTCATGCTAATTAGATTATATCTTTTAGTCTCCTCCTGATATGGGTTAAATAACAGGGTTGAATGGGCTCTATAACTGTGGTTGGCAACCAGTCTAGGAGAAAGACAACTCTGAATTCAAAACTGTATGTAGCCCTGGTCAGTTGCATGCTATACAACCATTGAAAAGATTATGGAGTTAACAATTAAATTGGTACAAACTTGTAGACTCTCTGATTTCAAATTAGTTCAAATAAAGGAAAGGAAAGGACTGTTATCCTGAACTGAGTGACGTGTTTGACTTCCAGAAGTTTTCCTTTTCTCAGATCAGGGTTTGAACATACTATTAATTGCTATAGTGAATTGTAGTTGTTTTCATAGTTCCTGTTGAATTATCCTTCCTACCCAGTCATACCTATTTTTGTACTCTTTTTGAATTTACTCTTATAATCATCATAATAATCCTCATTATTATTTTAAGGAAGAGTTTTTTTATCACTTGCATGCAAAGAGTTGTCATTTTTCCCTACAGTTACACATAAATTAAACCCATACAGCTAAGTAGATATTTCTGTTATGTCTCTCCTAATTATACTGGAATCATTTTTTAAAAACAGTGTATTATTACAAGTATGTACATCCATATATTCCAATCTTGGTTGTCCAGTCAGCATACTTTTTATTTAATGGTAACCAATGTCAGATGATAAGAAATAGAAGCAGAAAAAATGTAAAACAATGATTGAAAATTCCCTTAAAAAATGATTCCTAAATATATTTTTTTTTTTACCAGAGGTGTTTTAGATTGCATAAAATGTATTCAGCCTTTGAGATGGTTTTCATAGCAACTAAATCATTCCAATATAATTATCACTTATCACTGTGTGTTTAGACCTTCAAGCTGTTAAGCTATTGAAAATTAGTGCGATCAGAGTCAATTTTGTGGTTTACAGGAAGTGAAATGAAGTGTGGCCCTTCAGGGAAGAT